AATGGACTGAGTGTCTTGTCGCTTCCATGAGGAACTGTGTCAAAATGCTTCTTAAATGTATTAAATACAGTAACTTCTGGTGATTTTGATGCTTCAATGTGCAACTCGTTAAAAACCTGTGTTATTAACATTAGTGATGATATCTCTAGATAGTTGATCTGTTTCTGGTTGATAAGCAGGTGCACCAAGAATTTTGACATTGGTGTTGTAACCAACAGCAACCACAAGTCTTTCCTGTAAGTTATATGTTGCCTGGCTCTTAATCAGTTTAGAACCATAGGGAAGCATACTTTATTGAAACCCATAGCTTCCGAACTTCAGAAGCAATTTCTTCATTTACCATATGCCTGGACCTGTCTGCTGTGGCATATAATACAGCAATTTTGCTAGCATCACCTCCTGATTCTTCAATAATGGCCTCAGTGAGTGCAGACTGTTGTGCAGGAGAAATTTTCATTCTTGTTGCCAAAGCCACAATTCTTGGAGATTTGAGAATGTTACAAGGTATATGAGCTGCTGTTCCAGTATGAGTGGTTTGATGGTGTGTTTTTACCAGTTTCTTTTCAAAAGTCTTGAAAGGACTATCGATATCACATTTACTTTCATCACTACTTTCCTCACTGCTGTTGCTAGAGAGCTCTACTGTACAAATAGCAGATACTGTAGCAGTAGCAGTAGCTGCTTCTTCTGCCTTTAGTCTCCTTTCTTCTTGCTTTTGCAGTTGTGTCTTCTTGCGCTTTAACTATAATGCCAATTTCTTGTCTGTGATGATGTGTGCAGTCTGTCTTCATGGACTCTAAAAACTTTACGCCTTCGTCATTCTTCATGATTTTTTCAGTATCTTTTACCCACAGTGGAAACGTCAAACTGAGTTCTTTCTGTGACATTTCAACCAAAACAGCTCCATGCCTTAACACTGCATCCACCACGTTTCACAGTCAATAATATACGCTGCTTTATAAAATGTTCAATGACTTTTCTTTGGACTAAAAATCTTCTTTTGATAACATAGATTTAAAACTTTCAGTTTTTTATGATCTATTTTTTATTTAGTTTTGCCCACATTTTGCATTTTTATCAAAACATTTTAATCAAAATACTTTTATGATTATAAAATTAACTAACATTAATTAACATTAATTAGTGCAAAAAAAATTAAAAAGTTATTAAATTTAAGCATTTTTTCAAAAGTCATTTTAATAACGACATAATTATTTAAAAAAATTTTTACTAACAAACCAGGCTTTGTTTTGTAATACTGATATTTGTACATATGTTTGCACTTCAATTCCAGGAGCCTGTTGTCAATTTCTTAGAGATAAACTAAATAATAAAAAATTTAATAAATTCAATTTAATACTTAAATGACATGTTTATTACAAATTTAAAACCAAATTTAACTGTTAAAACTATAAGAAACTTTTATTTCTTTTAAATAGAAATTTATTTAGTTTATATATATATATATATATATATATATATATATATATATATTATATATATATATATATATATATATATATATATATATATATATATATATATATATAGTCTTGCATGGTTGTCACAAAGTTTTTCCCATAAACTGTTGTTTTAAATAGCGCGTTAATAAGTCTGACCAGAAAATGTTGAAAAACTTCAAAAAAAATTTTTGAAATGATAGACTGCCTGCCCAAACCAAACCCTCAGTTGATGTAGCAGCACTCCCTTGCGAGTCAGGCTATTTGTCAGTCGATGTAGCAGCACTCCCTTGCGAGTCAGGCTATTTGTCAGTCGATGTAGCAGCACTCCGTTGCGAGTCAGGCTATAAGATAGTTGATGTAGCAACACTCCCTTGTAGCAGCAGGCTATAAGATAGTCGATGTAGCAACACTTACGCATATTTTAAAAATGTTTTTTAATAAAACAAAAACACCACTAATTAAAAAAAACTTTCTAGTCATTATTATTGCGGTTTTTTTAAAAAACAATAAAATTTAATGTATTTCCGCATTAATTTAATTGCTTTTACGTTTCGACGACAATAAAATGCAGCTTAAGAGACAAGGTGTAGTCGATTTTGTAGTCGAAAGAGACTTTTTTTACCATAAAAGTCTCTTTCGACTACACTATAAGGATATATATATATATATATATATATATATATATATATATATATATATATATATATATATATATATATATATATATATATATATATATATATATATATATATATATATATATATATATATTTAAAATTATATCTTACACATAATTTATCTGATGCTTAAAAAGTTCTATAATTTCCACGTGCATCTATCATGAGCAAAATATAAACAAAAAGATGTCTAAATTTTTAGCTTTGTTACCTTCTCTTAACCTTAAAATAAAGATTAATCAAAACAAAATTAGATAATAAAATCACAAGATATATAAATAACATTATAAGGGTTTTTACAGGGTCATTGATAAAAAACAGAACTTTTTTTTAAAAAAAAATTGTAATAAACTTATATAAATATGAATGTCAAAAAGAAATGCAATCAGCAATATAAAATTTTAAAATTGATTTAAACTTATGTTATGCAACCACATACTTCCTGTCTAAAATACCAAATACTAAAATAATTTTGTGTCTAAAATAACTCACTGTTATAAAAAAATGAAATTTTGCATGATGTCATGACCCAGAAAAATCCTTTGAGAGTTATAATTGATATGTGCTTGTAGATCACAAATGATATTTGCCAGCTTCTTATCACAGAAAAAAACTAAAGGATGTCATTTTAGGTTCAGCAGATCAAAAACTTGCTTGACATTGCTATAGTTTTTCTGTAGATCTTCAGAAATAGCAATCAGTAACTGACGCTTAACACTAGAATCTTTGGCCAGAGAATTTGTGAGAAGTCATTTTGATGGTGGAGATTATGAAGCTGAATATTTTTCCATGATTCCAAAGCTTACTTTTAGAAAACCGCTACCACCATCCACTCCCAGCTTCACAATGTCATCAGAGAGGTTTCTAGTTTCAAGAACTTGCTGACAAAGAACTTTCAAGTCTTTGCAGTGAAAGACAATTTTATCCACCTGATTTGTGCTCTTGTCAGTTGCTGTCTGTTCTAGTCCTTCATTAAAAAGTCTTCTTGCTCTTGAAGATGAACTTTGGAAATAATTGAGAGATTTGAAGCTTCCTTGTTGGCAGTGACTGATGCTGTAACTTTCAGCTGCCACAAAGTCCTTTGACACAATTTCTGCTAAATTCTTTTGCAAGGTAGACTTTAAGCAATTGTGACCCTTGCCAACAATTGAGAACTTCTTTCAACTGAGTTCTGGTTTGCTTCAGGTTTCTGGGTTGCCAAGACTGGATGTAGAGAATTGTGCTTTACTTTGCCAACTGAACAAAAGTGACTAGCCTTGCCAAGACACAAGAAGCAAACAATCTTCCTATTCTCCTCATGGTTTTTTTCTTGAGTTGGTATACTTTTTTTTAATTCAGATGCCAATTCTATGAAGAAAATAGATTGAACAACTAATGGTCAAGCTTTTTTCCATAACCTTATCATAATACTTTATAGAAATGCAATTTTTTTATTTTTTGAGTACAGATAACTCGTATATATTTTTTTTAAGCTAAAAAAATGCAACTAACTTATTCAAGGCCACCTATCAAAATTTAACACCACCTATCAAAATTTATGAAATGGATGAAAGTAAAAGTTATAAAAAATTAAGTTTTATTGCTCTAGAGATAAATATACATAAGTTTAATTAATGCGATTTTATGCAAATTTAAAAATAGATTTTTTTCCACATACAGTCTAACCAGATTTAAGGACTTATATTCCAGTAACCACCAATGATAATACAATCATACCCCAAAGAATTGTTCTGAGTCATGACATCAAGCAATATTTCATTTTTTACAACTTTTATAAATATGCATGTCAAAAATAAATACAATTACAAGTATAAAATTTTAAAACTGATTTAAATTTACCGATACCATATGCCATGTGTCTAAAATACCAAAATCTAAAAATAATATAAATAAGTCATTTATAAACAACTATAAGTTGTGTAAGTAACCCTTTTATGGACTCTGTTAATATTATTTTGGTTAGTTTGTCATATGAAAAAAATCATTATAATATATTAATTGGTTTATATTAAATATTTCAAATAAGTTACATAACTTTAGAAAATACAAAAAATAGAACCTAATTTAAAATTAGTTTTACTCAATCTGCTCCCTCTTCTAAAACTGCGAAATATAAAATACTGTCAATTATAAAAAAACTGGTAATTTTTTTATAATTGACAGTAGTATACAACAAGCCATCTATGATGTAAAATTAGTTTAAGGTTCTTTAAACAAAAAAGGCCTTTTAAAAACTTATTTTCTTAAATATTTCTTGATGTAACAAACTTGATTATTTCAAAAAATGCATATAATGATAACAATGTAATGTAATAATAACAATGTAAAGAAACAAATAATTTAACTGTAATACCTGAACATAAGTTATTCAATCCAATCCAGTAGAAATAATTTTTTCTATACCTTTCAAGCATGACTTCAATTAATGTTAGGATCAGTATGTATTTTGAGAAGTAATGATTTTAATTTTACATATAAAATGATCTAAAACGAAACTTTAAGTGAAACTTTGAAACAAAGAGTAATCAAATGAATTAACAGAATTTCATAAAGTTTGTAAATGAATAATTTTACTCCATTTTTTTTTTTTTTTTTTTTTCTTATTTTCATGATGGATTGTTCCTTTAATTTAATAGAGTTACGCAATCCGTTTTTCTTTTCTAATCCGTTTTTTTTTTCTAATAAATTGTTTTTAGAGTTTACAAAGTTTTGGATATACATAACTTTGAATTTTTGATATAAGATTTTATTTTTCTCTCTCCTTTTCAATTTTTTAATAGTGACATGCAAATTTTGACAAGGTAGTATATAATAAAATAGGTTAAGTAGTAGTAGTTAAGAACTAAAAATTTGTTTTTAGCATGGATTGTCAATTGTTTATTCTCGAAAATTACTTGCAAAAGATTCTGTTATTGTGTATGTTGATGGGCATGAAATCGAGCATCACAATTTGCAGTTCCCCACATTAAATAAGGTATGTTTTATCTATTAAATTGTTAAATTAATTTTTTTTCATCTACCAAAATGTTCTTAAATATTAATTTTTTTTAACTATTAACAGGCCTTCTCGTAAAAGGCATGCCATCGGGCGCTTTATATGACCACGCATATAGTTCTTTGTTTTAACAACTTAACCACAGCTCTTTGCAAGTTTCGATAATTAGCGCATTTAAAAAATGCGCTAAAAGAAAACAAAGCAAATGTAAATGCGATTTTTAATTTAATTGATTCCATAATTACAATTAAACTGCCACAAAATTTCCTGAGTACTTTAATGCAACTTAATGAAAGCAATCGTTGAAAAAAATATTCAGATTAGAGTTTAAGGCATAATGAGTACAGAAGCTATCAAAAAATAATTAAAAACCTTTTTATCATGGAACTATAATTTCTATTAAAGAAATTATTTACTAAAAAAAAGAATTACAATAATCTAGAAATAGTTGCATTTGCCAAATATTTTTTATCCCAGGGCGTGACGTACCGTTTTTTTTAATGAACATTGACTTGTGTATCTTTATTTATTGACAAATGTCTTATTTAAGAGATTTATGTCAAACAAATTTCAAATAAATTTTTATTCTAGTTAATAAGTTATCAAATATATCAAAGATGCTTGGTAGATTTATTCAATTGTTAATTTTCAAAAACTTTTTTTTTACACATTTGCAAATTAATGATAAACGCACAATAAAAAAAACTTTTAAAGTGTTTTTAATATGCAAACAAACATTATTTCAGTTTATGGAAAATAAGAAAATTAAAAAAAAAAAAGCATGCACAATTTTATTTATAATGAAATCATTTGCTTTAAACTTTTAATGTAATTGCTAAAAACAGAAAAGAAACCAAGCTTAAACATTATGATAGCAATCAAATTGTTTTCAATAGCAATCAAATTGTTTAAGGACGGTTTCTTTTGAAGTTTTTGCAAAAGCATCTATTTTAAGTTAAATTATGCATACTTTTGTGAGCGCATGTAAAAACCATGCTAAAACATTATTACTTTTTTCTATTTATTTTACTTAAAAGTTACACTATTGAAAAAAGTAATTATGTTTTGGCATTTTTTTAAAAAAGTCTCTGTAATTAATTGTTTTTCATTTCAAATATGTGTGTTTTGTTATAAATAAAAAACTATTGATCGCAAAATTATTTTGAAAAAATTGCTGAAGTAAGGCGTTAGTTTTGAAAAATCTTAATCAAACGGCAAGCAAAATTAAAGAAACGTGATGTTTGTTTTTCTGTCTGTCTTAAAGAAATGCGCGCACATTTGTCGATTTGTTGCACCCTGTATCCTATTAACTTTTTAATAAAATTTTAACTTTGCACCACAAAATTTTATTAAATTTCATGACCCTTTCCCTCACTATGGATCTGCCCTTGTATTAGCCTATTTAATCATGGGAAGGAATGATAAAGATTATTATAAAGATAAAGAGCTGTTATTTTTTCACTTTTGCTTCCAATTAAGTTTAAATTAATGTTTTGATTTTTTTTCTGGTTTTTCCTTTATTTATTTTATCATTCTTTAAATATTTTACTTTTTTAGGTTAATTTTTGTTATATATATTATTTTAAGGATTTTATTCTCTTTTCAGTTTTTGGATTGTTTATTTTAATTTGCTTTGTTGTTTTTTTTAAATGCGCTAATTATCAAAACTTGCAATGAGCAGTGGTCAAGTTGTTAAAACAAAGAACTATATGCGTGATCATATAAGGCGTGCGATCGCACGCCTCTTACGAAAGGCCTGACTAAAATTTTTTTCTATCAAAATGTTAAAATAAATTTCTATAGTTGTTAGTGTAGAAAAAAGTTTGAAATTTTGTTGCTTTTTTTGCAAATTTTTTTTTTTAGTTTAGAAGTTTAGAAAGCTGCTTGTTCTTATTGATGTTTTTATTTTGTGTCTTGTATTTTTAGTTTTTAAGAAAAAAAATTTTGATTTAGTTTATCAATGTTTATATTGCATTTATAGTACATATTTTTATATTGCACAAGATTACATTATAAATATAACTATTTAAGGAAATAGTTGTTGGTGGTCTTGGTTGTTCAGCCAAGTTTTTTACTCAGTTGTTGAACATTCCTGTTCCAAAATGTCCACTTTATGATCTTTCTTCCGCGGAATGGGGATCATCTACTGTTTTAAAAGGACAAATTGCTTCTTTTGCTTTGTTTAATGAATCTTTGAGTCCTGATCGGATACAGGATTTAAAAAGAGCAGGTTTTTAATATTTAATTTTTTTTAAAAAGAGCAGGTTTTTAATATTTAATTTAAATATTCACTGAATATCAAGTGTTTGTCAAACTAACTATTCATTATAAAAAAATAGGATCCAATTCCCAGCTCTATTTCTCTGTGAAAGAATTAATGGCTGAAAGTGCAGATACTTCTTTGATGTTCAATAATGTGGTTTTATATTATAATGCCAAGGTATGTTAAGTAAGATATTCTTTATTTGTATTTATTCATTTTTTTATAAGCATTTAAATTTTTTAGGCAGCTGTTAAAAATCAGCTGATGAATCTGAGTCGACATGCAAATCAAACTAAAGAAACTAAAGTTGATACATATAAGTAAGTTTGTTGCTCACATGATCACATAAGTTAGCTTCATTAGTTGCATAACTAATTTTTGTTAGTTATTTTATTTGTTACATAAAAAATTTTCATTGGTAGTTTGCAGTGAACTCTTTCTGTTTACTTATTTATACTAAATAAAATTATTTTTTTAGCATGAATGCATCTATATGTCGTGTGTTCAAAATTCAGGTATTAATTCTAAAAAAAAAATATTTTTTATAGCTGTTGATAAAAAATATATATGATTTTTATTTTAAAGATATAAATATTTTCTTATTTTGTGTATTTTTTGAAAAATTTATTATAGGAAACTATCCAATCCATTGGCGGTTTGTCAGTTTTATTTCCTTTGCTTGAGAAGGCATCATTTAGACATAGAAAATCATCTTTATTTTTCCCAATCACAGATGATGTTACTAGTTTCTCTGACACAGAAGGGCAGTACTTAAGTAATTCTTCAAATGTACTAACCTGCAACAAGCCTAATGAAAAACCAACTAATGGTTCTTCTTATGAGGAATATGAAAATGGCGATTCAAAATTTATAGATATTGAAAACTTGAAACACAAAGAAATATGCACTAATAAAACAAATGAGAATAATTCAATTGATTTAGTAAATAGCTCAAATAATTTAGAAGTCTTAGATTTTATTTATAGCGATGAGTCATCAAAAGATATTGATCTAAATAAAAGTTTAATTTCTATTCAAAGTTGTGAGAAGTACAAAAGTCAAATAAGGTTTGTAGTCTAAAATAGTAGTAAAATATGTTTGTAGTATAAAATATTATCATGTTATTTTAAAGGATGTTGCTGCTAGTTAAGAAGAAAATAGTGAAAAAATTAAAACCTTTGTGCGCCTTTTTTTAAACATTTTTTTATATTTATCAATTAGACTAAAATTACTTTTCTAATATATTTTAAATTTATAAAGTGATAACTTAGAAGATTGGACATTTTTGGATTCAAAAGATATACAGCCTAGTACTAACAGATATTGGTTGCCTGAAAATAGTTATGAGTCAAATGGTATTGCACACTTCATATCACTTATTCGACATATGATAGATGGTCGAAAAAACGCTGCTTTATTAGAGTTACAAGGTGTTAGAGTTATTGGGTACTTACTTCAAAAATGTGACCCTATTCTTATAAACATTAGTTTTTTAGAATGTCTTAGTAAATTAGTGGAAACTTTACTAGGTGTAAACCAAGTTTTATTGGAAAATATTTATCAATACATTCTTTTTGATTTCAACATATGGCATCGTGCTAACACATCAGTACAAATAGCACATATTCAACTTCTGCATAACTATATTAAGGAGGATCCTACTTCATTTTCAAATTTGTTTGGGGTTGAATATTTCATGCAAATAGTTGAATTACATTATGGAAGTGTTCAAGTTAATCAAGAAAGATGCTGGTTGGCTGATCAGAGTGACTTGCGAAAATCATTAATAGGTAAGTAAATAATAAAAAAATAATTTTATAATATATTTTATTTGTAGTGCAAGTGAAATTAATAAATAATAAGTTATATTAAGAAAACCACTTTTATTATGTTACAATTTCTTTTTTTTTTATTTCAAGTCTTACTTTAAGAATGTGTACCAGATACCAGATATTTATAATTTTTGGTCTTGATGTTTGATTTCAGTGCTTTATTTCAAAAGGATGTTGCTCTATATTTTATTAAATCCTATAGCTTTTATAATGATATTTAGTTAAACAAGTAAATTCTCTTTTTTTTTTCTAATGCATCCTGTCATTTTATGGTCTCTAATGGTAAATGGTAAAGTTTTAAGTTTTTACATAGTATATATTGATTTAATAAATATAATATACTCAATCATTGTTAAAGACTTGTTGGTTTGAGTTTTTAAAAGTATTTTGTTTTTAACCAGTTGGTTGAAGCTTTTGAGAATATTTTAAGTACTGATGAAGGATTAATTTAAATTTTTTATTATTATTATATTTTAGATAATTAAGATAATAATTAAATGCATAATAATTATTTTAAAACTTAGGCATATAAAATTTGCCGAATGGTCACGCACAAGCAGTGAAGGCCTGAGGGAAAAAATGAAGTACATTAGAGTAAAGGAGATTTATTTTTTGAACAAAGCATATTTTGACAGTTGTCAAGACAAAAATAGAGATTAATAGAGGAATATCTAAAAATAAATAAGACAAACAAGGCACCTAAAACAATACTTAATTAAGATAATAATTAAATTCATAATAATTTCTCTTTGTTCTTTTGTTAAATCAGTTGATTTTATATAAAAAGTGTGTTATGCTGCTGTTAAGTTTAAAATGGTGTTACATAAAGAAAAGATGGTCTGTTGCAGAAAAAAATAGATAATGCAGTTAACCTTTTTTATATTGCACATAAAAAAAGGTAATCTATTGAAAAATGTTGGATAAAAAGTTATTGTTTTTGTTGTATTAAGTTATATTAAAAATGTTGACATAAAATGCACTATTTGATTGTTGCATAAAGAATACATTATTTATTGCATAAAAAGTACATTAAGTTTTTAAAGTTATTTATAAGTTTTTTAAATAAATAATACAGGTTTTTACATTAATAATAGTGAATAATTTTTTTAAAATATTTAAAATATTTCTTTTAGTTGTTTGAAAATAAATTTTTGCTGTTGTATTTTTTAAATTAATTTTTTTTTTTTAGGGTTGGTTAAGTATCTAATGAAATTATCACCCAACAAAGAAAATATAAGTTTGGCAGTCTCCTATATGAGCTGTGTTTCAAATTCTGAATGTTTGGATGAAGTTTTAGATTTAGTGTTTAGCCTAATTAAAAGTCCAAATGAACTTTCTGTATCTTCATTACCGCTTTGTTCATATTTAGCAGGTGAGTAGATACTGCGTACTTTGTTTTTACTAAAATAAAAAAAACCTTTTGTATATGTGTATTGTTTTTATTTATAAATTAGGCAAATGCCCAATTGATTTGCAGTTTTGCAATTGCATAGATTTAAGAAATTCCAAAAATACTTTTGAAATATAAAACAAAAAAAACTTATCACTCTTAAAGTTGTAAGGTAACAAATGAGTTTTAATATGAAGCGGTATTTTGCAGAAAATTATTAAAAAAAAAAAGTTTAAATATTAAAAATAATTAAGCTACTAATCTAAAGCTCATTAAACTTCATTTCATTAGGCTCCTAATCAGAAGTACATTATTTCTCATTAATTTTCTTGAAAATTTGAAAGTAAAAATAGTGGGTAACTAGGGAATCAGCAAATTATAAAGCAAAATATTACAAAAAGTATAAACAAAAGCAATTTTTATGCTAAAAAGGTTAGAATTTTAAGGTTTCTTTTATAAAAATTTAATGTGAGACAATAGAAACTTTTAAAAGTATGCCATTAGCTTGAGTTAGTTTAAAACAAATTTAAATTCAGATATACTTCAAAGAATATTTGTTTATTAACTAATTTTGATTTCAATTTCAACATTGTTTTTGAAATTAAAATCAAAATTAATTGTTATTGATTCCTGATTTTTTATGTAGTCCCTTGTGTTTATTATGGTTCCTGGTATTCTATATAGTTCCTTATGTTTCTGGTCAAGTCAGGAGCATGATTGTGTTGATCACCCTGCTACTGTTAACATGTAGTCTGGTACAACATGCAATAATAATTATGTGTAGAAGGTTTTCCTATTTGTGCATCGTGAAGGACACATAAGAATAAAATAATAAGATATCTTTTTCTATAAATCAACTCTCTTTAGAAAAAAATAACAACATCTCATCTCTTAAAATTGAAAATGCCATTTGTGGTTTCAATTTTTCAAAATTATGGATATAACTCTAACCTTCTGCCAGATCAGTCTCATTATTATGAGCAAGGTTTTTAAATCTTTAATTTAAAAAGTTTTTTGAAAACTATTGAATCATTCTTTTCAAACTGCAGTGTTTAAGTCTTTCTTGATAGATTTTTTCATTTCTAGTAACCTCTGGAGTTTAATTTTTTCCGTGTTTTTCATTTTTAATTAACATTAATGATTTTTGATACAACTGCTGACACAACTATATACATCAGTATTAGTAACACAACTGTAAGCACCGGTCAAAAATTTGTTATCTGATCTCAAGTCTTTTTTTTGTGACAGCTTGGGGCTTGCTGTGGTTGGGGCTTGCTGTGATTTATAATCAAAAATTCTTTTAGGCTAGTAATTGTTGCGATACTGTTTATAATCTTATGTTTATGAACTCTAAAAGAGTGTTACTACTCATCAACATTTTGTGACTTCAGTCAACATAATCATTTGTGACTTCAGTCAACATAATCATTTGTGACTTCAGTCAAGTTTTCAACAAAGTTTTCTTATACTGCAATCATTTCTTCCTAAAAAAAACTTTGCTCTGCTTAAACTGTTCATAAAATAAGTCTTCTGTCAACCATTTTCAGGCTCTTTCTTTTCTTTGTTTTTTATTTCTATTTTTTCTCTTTTTGGCTTTCTAGAAACTAGAAAGATAATGTAACCAATTGTAATATTTGTTTAAATATAAAAATTTGTCTGAAAGGTTTGATGTTGTATCTAAGTTTAGTTCTTTATTTAGTTTTACGGTCACTGCCAATAATATTGTCATAACTTGTTCACTGCCAATAATATTGTCATAACTTGTTCACTGCAAATAATATTGTCATAACTTGTTCACTGCCAATAATATTGTCATAACTTGTTCACTGCCAATAATATTGTCATAACTTGTTCACTGCCAATAATATTGTCATAACTTGTTCACTGCCAATAATATTGTCATAACTTGTTAACTGAAGTATTTTTATGCTGCACACTGAAATATATTTGCACACTGAAATGTATGTTACACACTAAAATGTGTGTTACACACTCAAATGCAACTACATTGTTTTATTCTTTTAGTATTTTTTGTGCCATTTATTTTACTAATTTGTAAATTATCATGTCTTTTTTTCTGTTTTACAACTTTAAGAGTGATAAGTTTTTTTTGTTTTATATTTCAAATATTAAACTAAAAACCAAAAATTAAGAAAAAAATAATAAAATAATCAATTACTTTTAGTTTTTCATAATCTTAAATAATTTTGTTATCATATCAGAATATGGTTGTTACATCATGTATCGTTGGCTAGTCCATGATATATTTAACGAGACACGTAGCAAGATTATAAATATTTTTATATACATGATAAAATTTGGAAACCTTACAGAAACATTGAAACAAAAATTAGTTTTGAAAGACTTATTTCCTGCTATTGGGGAGCTACTGTGCAAACAAGAAATTTCAAAAGATGTTGTACTGCTTCTGTTAAAACTAGGTGTGTCTGTTAGTCATTCTGAGGAAATGAAAAATGATATTTTTTTTAATTATCAAGTTGTTCTGTCTGCTCTTCGTATATGTCAATCACTTCCTGTATTTGTAAAACTTGAAGTTGCTATCAAGGTTTGTTGCTATAATTTTTTATTGTTGCTATAATTATATAAAACTTTTTTTAATATTTTATTTTTATTTGTTCAATTGGTTCATAAAAACTTATATAATTTTATTTACATGTATAGCCGTATATAAAATTTACCAGGTAAACCATTCTTTAAAATTGTGCCCTCAAAGTGCAATATGCTGTGCAAATGCATTTGCTTGGTATGAACCTATTTGGATGTTAATAGTTGCAAATTCACCAGACGAAAGTACTAAAATGCAAGAAGAAGATCTTTTATTTATAGTTGTTGACATAATACACTCAGTAATTTGGAATGGTGTAGTAGGATCAGATTTTCAAGCATGGACTGTAAGATGTTTTTTTAAAATTTAAACTTGATTAAATTCTTGTAAATATTTTCTGGCAATTTATTTATTTAATAATTGGGTCATTTAGTGCTAAAGATGAAAATAATTGTAAAAGCATTTTCTTTGTTTAAAATTCTTCATGCCAGACAAGATGCTGTTTATTATTTTTTTAGAAAAGAATTGAGCCCATTACTAGTTTGCACAAATTATCATCACAATTTACATTTATTCAATCGGCTTTGGTAATTGAACGTCAACTTTATGAAAAGTCTTTATTAACCACTGCAATGGCACTTAAAAGATCAACACAGTTAAATGTGGATTTGCAAAATGCAGAACAAATGATAAAGCTCGTTAAAGACTTTGTTACTAATTTTGGTAAACAAATATTACTTTATAAAATAAACTTTCTAAAACCTAAGAATTGATTATAAATAATAAAATTAAAATGTAATTAAAACTTAAATAGTTCAATGAATTTATAGTTCTTTGGTTTAAAGTTTAAAAAAACTCAAGAAGAAAAAGTTAATTGAATGCCAATAATGTGAAAGCAGTAACAGATTTTAATTATAAGTTATTTAAAAAATAATTGTATGTTGTTTAGAAAAAAATAATTTTTCTGAGTATTCATCTCCTTAACTATTTTAATCAATAGGTTATTATCATATATTAAATATAAAAGCATTCTAAGATTCATATTCATAAATATAAAGTTTATATTTAAGCAGCTGCTGTGCAGTGCACAGTAGACCAGAGGTGAGCAAAACCCTTTAAAACCAACTATTGTGTTGGAGTAATTTCTTTTTGTAAATGTAATCTAGAGACCACCAGCACTCTAAAACTGATATAATTTTTTCCCTCTTGCGATTTTTGAGCTCAGTATATCAATTTTACAACAAAAATATTTTACCATTCAAGTTTCAGTGAAAATTTGGAAAATCATACAAAAATAAAATATGAGGCCACCAAGAAAATTTTGCAACATTTTATTTCTTAATGGTTTAAATTAGTCCATTGACATTATGTATTGAAATAAGAAGAAATTTAAAAATTTATTTTTTTTGCTTCCTTTTTTTCAAAGTGTTTTTTAATAAAACCCCTTAAAATGCGCAACATTTTTTTAAACACTTACATTTACACAAGCAGAAGAACACTAGGCCACACATGTGATCTACTCTAAATTACCCTCTCATATATAGATAAAAATTTCAGCTGAGCGCAGTAGGTGCTAGGCTTTTTACTTTAAATGATATCCAATCAAAGATTGTGCTTTAAAAAACTGAAGACGCGTAAAGAACAGAATCACTCAAATCTTGTTAAAATCTTTTTTAAATAGCACTTTTAATGTTATTGTGAAAAGTTTCGGATCATTTTATGAGAGAGGAGGAAACAATTAAGGATTTGGAGGAAAAAAGTAAACCCCAAAATTTTGACAACAGAGAGTACTGCACAATGAAATTCTCCAGGCCTCAAACAAATTATGATCTTATGATGAAAATCTTTTCCAGCTATGTTACTAAGGTGTCCAGAGTAAGGAGGAGTTTGGGAAAAGTCAAAGACTCCAATCAGCGAAGGGGCCCTTGATGTACTAGTGTATGATGTATATTATTACCTAGATTCTTATATATGTATGTATGTATATATATATATATATATATATATATATATATATATATATATATATATATATATATACATATATATATATATATATATATATATATATATATATATATATATGTATATTTATATTTATATATATATATATATATATATATATATATATATATATATATATATATATATATATATATATATATATATGTATATTTATATATATATATATATATATATATATTTATATATATATATATATATATATATATATATATATATATATATATATATATATATATATATATATATTTATATATATATATATATATATATATATATACACACACACATATATATATATATATTATGTTAATAAAGTTCAAATTTATTGAACCTTATTTGTTTATATTTACAATATTAAAGAAATTAAGTACATAAAATAAATAAAAAGCACTAAAATGTCTTGACAATCAATGATAATCCATGACTACACCTGTGCGATCATAACCACTCCTGGAGACCAAATATGGCCTGATTTTATTTTCCTGATATCAATTACCTATTTAGACAAACATGTATTATCTAACTGAAAAACTATTGGGATTTTCCAGGAGCACACTTTAACACCCCTAAAATGATCACCTGAGCGGTCATGACCACTTCTAAAAACTGAGTATCCACAGATTTAAATTCCCTGACTGCAGTTACCTATATTTAGATATACACCATTTCTAATCTAATTTAAAAACCATCAAGACACCCCATGATCACCCTTGACCCATAAAATAACCATGTGTGTGGTCATGACTGCTACAAAATCAAAATGGAGCCCAAAAATGAAATCCTTGGCCCCATAAACCTCTATAATCATGTATCATATGTCTATATTTAACACATAAATAGTTTTGACATTTTTAGAAAATTCTGGCCCACTGTGCAGTTGCTAGAGAGTATGCTTTAGACTTGAGAGGTCCAAATTTCGATGACAGCTTTTTCCATGTTTGCAACATTAGTAAGAAAAGAGGTTTTCTAGTTAAATGCTCTTTTGTGGTGCTTTGTGATAAGACCATTAAACTTTCTTAGAGCACCTTAACAACTATATATAAAAAAAAAAATCATAAATATTTACTGAATCAATTCTAAGAATTTTTAATTTTTTTATTTTGCATACAAAATTAGTTTTTTGTGTGTTAGCCTTAATATAGTTCTATCTAAATAGTTTTTATGTATTAGCGTTATTATGTTAATATCTAAATAGTTTTACAGTGTGATAAATTTTAGAGTTAGTGTTACTGACTCTAAAATTAAAAAAAATTGAAATTTTACACTGAAATTCCATTAAATTGTGCCCATATTCAATAATTTCAAAAGCATATAAAGTTCCAAAAATTAACTGTTGGAATACTGTTGTCATAAAACTATTGGAAAACTGTTATAAGAGTTTTCCAATAGAAATAGAAATAAGAAAACTCACAAAACGTTATAAGAGGACAAAACTACAAAGAGAAAGGTGGGAAGTTTTTTTTTTCTTCTCTTCTAACAAGGCTGCAAGCAATCACTATTAGAGTTGGAAGTTACTGGAAGATCAAAGATTGTAAAACAAGATAACGATTAATAGATAACTTATAAGGTTGCAAATTGTATGAATCAGGAAAACAAGATGAAAGGATCAAGTTATAAGTAACTGATGTTTGAGGAAAAAAACTAGACCACCCCTTGTACATACATGCCTGCGTTGTGGTAAATTCACTTCATGTTTACTTTCATATCCTCTTGTATCATCACTGTTAGTTTTAGTTTTCACTGGTATTATCATCACAGTTAGTATCAACAGAAGCCACCTAATATGGAAAAAATTTAAAAGATAACAAATATATTTATTTTGAAATGTTAACTTTTATGGTGATATTGTTGTAACTTATATTCAATTTCAGGTGCATTCAGTAATAAATAAAGTCCAAAACTTTTTGAGGAGTAAACGTTTCTGCTGATGTAACAGAAGCAACTGATTGTCAATTTTTACAAAATGTATTTCCTTTTTGAATTTTAAATCTATAATCAAGGTGATCATTGTCAACATTGAAATCTGATTCCTTAAGATCAATACTTTTATTCTTTTTCTTCAAGAACAATTTGTAAAATGTTTTCGATATTTGAAATGGCTTAGCAATTAAATCTAAGTTACTTATTTTATAAGTTTTTTGTCTTTCATTCCTGGGGTCTGTTAAGTTCTAAAACATCGCCTGCAATGTGGAGAACAGGTAAAATTAAGACATATTTTATCTACTGCTATGCGGGATACCAATAATGAAAGGGTTAAGTATATGCTACAACTACGTAACAATAACTAATATAATTATTTTAATTTTTGTAGAGATAACTGGAAAAAATTCTGAAAAGTGGAGTTCAATGGTAAGTTTAAAAAAATACTTAGATAATAGTCTTACTTTTTTTCTTTTTTTTTTGAAATAGTTTAAAAAATATATATGTAAAATAAATATAGTTTGCTAAGTTTCTGTCAAGTTTGATATTTTAAACTTGTTTCTTACTTAAATTTGTTATATAAAAAATTTGTATATAGTCACAACTTTTTTATTTGTATATAATTATGACTAATTATTTGCAATACTTTTTGAGGAATGTTTTTATATTGCCTGTAAGTAACCAATAAAAATAAGTTTGAGGGGGTTCTATTAATGATGAAATGTTTCATTTATGAATGTTCTATTATCATTTATTAAATGTTCTATTAATGGATGATATACAATAAAGCCTTAACATGAGTATGTGCTACATTCAATAAACATGAGTATGTGCTACATTCAATAAACATGAGTATGTGCTACTTCAATAAACACGAGTATCTGCTACATTCAATAAACATAAGTATGTGCTACATTCAATAAACATGAGTATGTGCTACATTCAATAAACATGAGTATCTGCTAAATTCAATAAACATAAGTATGTGCTACATTCAATAAACATGAGTATGTGCTACATTCAATAAACATGAGTATGTGCTACATTCAGGTCATTTTAAAAATAATTGAAATGTAAAACAAAAGGCACACAAAAAATTATTACCAGCAGACAAGGAGAGTGTGTGGTGTGTACAATGGATTGCCTCCTATGCATAATCTCCCATGCATAATCTGTTTTGTTTTGTTTTCTTTTTTTTCTTATTTTTTTGAATGAAAAATGGAATTCAAAAATAAAATTAGTTTAAATAAAAAGTTGAAATTAAAAGTAGTGTTTACCAAATTGCAATCAATTGTTGTTTGTAAATCTATTTTGTAATTAGTTTGACAACACACGATGTAACTTGCTTGACAACACATTCTATGCTATTGTATGTTCTTATGAAACTTGTTTCTTATCTTAAAAAAGTGTCACTAAAGTAAAAATCCTGTACCTGCATGTACAAAAGCAGATAGTAGATATAAATATTGATAAATAGATGGATAAAAAGGAGATTTAAATAGATCTAGGGGAAAGGAGAGGGGTACAAAACCCTTGTAAACCTTAATGTCAAAATCTGTTTTGTAATGTTACCATCAAATAATAACAAAAAAAACTTGTTTTGTAATACCATCAAAGTAAAAACCTGTTTTGTAATGTTACCAGTAAACAAAATTCTCACTTTTATTGTGTTAAATTTGATTTTTTTTCCTCAAACTATTGGTTAATGATTAATAAAGTAAATTTTCAAATCATGGAAGTTTACTAAATTAAAACCACTCTTCAGCAGTATGCAAACTAAAACAAAATCGTAAAAAATTAACAAAACAAAGAATTTTTAAAAAATTATGAATTTAAAAACAAAGAAATTTAAAAATAAATCAATAAAAAGTAGACATAAATCTTAAAAAATCTTTTTTATATGACGTGACTTTTAACAAAAATTTTTTTTTATATGACATAACTTTTCGAAAAAGCTCTAAGAAAAACTAATGTAAATAAAAAAAGAGAAAAAATGTAAATAAAAAAAGAGAAAAAGCAAATATAAATAATCATTAAAAAAAAAAAGATTTACTTTTTTTTTTAATTTTTTTTTTTTACATCTTTGCTTCCAACAAGGCTGCAAAAAAAGATGAAGTTTGTAGTGCAAGATAACGATTGACAGTTGACTTAAAAGATTTTAAATTATATGAATCAGGAAAACAAGATGATTAAAGCGAATTCCAAAGAACTGATGTTTGAGGAAAAAAACTAGACGAATAAGAGTTTTTGGAGCACTTAGGAACAGTCACAGAAAAAGAATAAGACTTAATTGAATAGATGGCACTACAGACGCTAGCTCATTAGAGCAGTGCCCATTATAGTATTTGTAGAAAAGAGAAAAAGAAGCACTATTACAGCAATGTGATAATGTTTGGAGGTTGGCTGCAAGAGCAGGTATAACTATGTTTCCTATGCATTTTTGCACCTTGTCTAAAAGAGAAAGGGCATCATTAGAAGATCCGCCCCAGATATGGCAACGGTATTCCATACAAGGACAGATTTGAGATTCTATACTTACTAAACGTCTATACTTTCAAAATTATTCAATTAATGCTTATCAGAGTCTTTTTTTTCAGCCTGTTGGAAAGCAACATCTGTTATTATTTTCAAAAATTCTGGAGAGGAATCTGATTTGTCTAACTACCGTCCCATTAGTCTTTTTCCTATCATAAGCAAGGTTTTTGAATCTTTAATTAACAAACACTTAATCTCTCATCTTGAATCTAATAACTTACTTTCTGATCATCAATATGGATTTCGATCTTCTTGTTCTACGGCTGATTTGCTAACAGTAATAACCGATAGGTTTTTTTGTCCATTAGATAAAGGTGGAGAGGTTAAGGCTATCGCTCTTGACATTTCTAAAACTTTTGATAAAGTTTGGCATGCTGGTCTTCTCCATAAGCTTTCTTCTTATGGTGTATCTGGTAACATTTTTAAGATTATTGAATCCTTTCTTTCCAATCGTAGTATAAAATTTGTCCTCAATGGACAGCACTCTTCTTCTTATTCTGTAAACTCAAGGGTTCTTTAAGGTTCAATTCTTGCCCCTATTCTTTTTTTAATTTACATTAATGATCTTCCAGATGTTCTGACATCTAAGGTGGCATTGTTTGCTGATGATACTATCATTTATTCTTGTCATGATAGGAGCCCCAACACTCTCTGATTGCTTGGAGAGGGCATTTGAGCTTGAAAAGGATCTCACTTCTGCTACAGCATGGAGCTCAGAATGGCTGTTGAACTTTAATTCAAATAAAACTCAACTTGATTTTTTAATTTTAAGTTGCTCTCAACTTGATTTTTTAATTTTAAGTTGCTCTCAACTTGATTTTTTAATTTTAAGTTGTCTGAAACCATGATGCCAAGGCCTCATTCTTGGTAACTGCATGTTGTATTTGAGATTGGTCATTGCTTTTGGATCCACGGCCTATGTGCATTACCTTGCATTTTGCATTGTTGAAAGGCATGCGCTAAATTCTAGACCACACAACAGCTTTGTCTATGTCATCTTGTAAAATTGTTGTCTTCTTTAGATTTGATGAAACCAATGGTTTAGCAATCATCTGCATATAATTTGATGTGATCCGCAATGTTATTTGGAAGATTGTTGATAAAAAGGACAAATAGTAATGATCCTAGAACCGATCCTCGTGGAATTCCATTTGAAACAGGTACCCAAATTGATATATGGCCTTTCATGACTACACATTGTTTGTGATCTTAAAGACATGCTTCAATCTAATTCAACAATGCTTCACATATACCAAGTGCCCTCTGTATAGCAAGCGTTGATGAAATACTTTATCAAATGCTTTGGCGAAGTGGTGTAGTGTTAGAGCGCTTGCTTGATAAGTGAGAGGTTCCAAGTTTAATCCCCACCACATTCCTGGTAGTACCAAGCTCAACTCATTTCTCCGCACAGCGGCCTTGTTCGTCAAAGTTCGTGTTTCAGAGTTATAGAGTTGAGGGAGGGTTATAACCACAAATAAGTAGCTTCCTCGTCTGTAGTGGCCTTCTCGACTTTAAGAAGGTGAATTAACAGAAAAAAAAGAAGAAAAAAAAGTCTGTATAAATGACATTGGCAGCATAACCTAGGTGAATGGCCTGTTTCAGGATGTCACGTGCCTCCAGGAGATTAGTTGGGCAGTCTTATTTGCATCTGAAGCCATGCTGGGCTTTTGAAAGAAATTTATTGGTTACAAAATGAAACATAACTTGATTGTGAATGATTCCTTCTAGGATTTTGCTGACAAATGAAGTTAGAGATAACAACCTGTTGTTCAAAACGTCAATTTTGCTTTTAAAAATTTTTTAAATCTGCGTTGTATTTAATTTTCTTCATAGATCCGGGACTTCTCAGGTAGCAATTAATTTCTTGATAATTTTTCAAGGTGCGCAAATGAATTTGCATATTATAGATCAAACCCCATTGTTGTATCTATAATATGCAAAATTTGTTTCTAAGTTCTAAAAAATCTAAGTTTTCTTAGAAATTCTTGTTCAAGTAAAAAAAATGATTTTTTTAAAATGAATTTCTTTTCTTTTCAGCTTATCTTCAATGTTTTCGTGTTGCTCGATGCTATGGGAGTTTGGGAGGATAGTACAGAAGTTGGCAATGAATGGACAGAAATTTTACAAGTAACTGAAAGTTTTTTATATCTAGCTTTTCAACAGACAAACTCTCGAGAGGTTTTAGAGACTGCCAGCAATAGGCTTAACCATTTATTGCATAAACGAAAGTTACCTGATTTTTTAGAAGTTTGTTATCAAATATACTATATGCATGATGTTTTGTGTGTCCTTCAAAAGCATGGTAAGTTGTTTTTTAAATAGTGGTTTCATTTTTAAAACGTGTGTCTTTTTTTTATACAAATACTGGTTTTTTTGAGACCCAAATATACCTTTAGTGAAAAAATTATCACTGACATGTGGGTCCCAAACTATTTTGAAAATTTGTAAATTTATGCTATATAGTAATACAGCATTACTATATCTTAATGTAAAGTTAAAATAATGCTTAATAAAAATTAAATAACAAACTACAACAGAAATTTCATAGTTAACAAACAAAGTTTGAATAACAATTACAAAAAAAATTTAAGAACACGTTACTACTGACTGATATGCTACTATAAAATGAAAATTAAATATTTTGTTTTGCTTTTTACTTTGCATTTAAAGAAATATTTTAAAACATATTTACACTTTTAAAAATTTAAAATAATAAACAATCAGTTAAATTTTTTAATTTTTCTTTCATATCTTAAAAGTTTTTAATTTTATAAACATTTTTTTTAAACTTGTAAAATTTTTTTTATTTATTTAGAATTATCTACTGAATCCTTTTTAATATATCTTCTCCAATGCTTTGAAAAGTATACTCTACAATTTTTTTATGACGATAAGCTGTCAGATATACCTCCACTGCAAATAGACATTTTTAAGAAAGATTTTTTAACATACATGATTGGAGAACAATATATTCTGTTTCTTGATTCAATCAAACATAATGTTCTAAAATTTGAAAACAAAGCTTTGTAAGTCTTTTATAATGATGAATTTTTTTGTATTGTATGTGTCTTGAGTTTATTTATAACGATTTTAATAAATAAATTTTAATTATAATGCATTTTTTAATATTAAATTTTCTACTAATATTATTTTTATATTTAGAAATAATATTTGTTAAAAAGTAAAAAATATTATGTATATTAGGGTCTGAAATTTTGGTAAATTTTTGGTATCTCCAGTTTTCAGAGCAATTAGCTCTGCGTCTAAAGCAAATTGAGTACTTTGATAAAGTGTAGCTTTAGTTATAATGATGAACAGATGTTTAAAGTCTGGTCTTTACCTTAAAGGAGATACATCTATATTGGAAAGAGTACAGAGATGAGCAACTAAGCTAATTCCTTCTCTTAAAAACATGACATATGAAGAAAGTCTCATAAGTTTAAATTTAACAAAACTTTAAACTCTGCGTTTAAGAGGGTACTTAATAAAAAAATTTTTTAAATCATCAATAAAATAGATAGTGTAAATCTAACACTACATGGATACAATTTCTTAGAGCAAAAAAAAATAAATAAAAAAAACAGATTCAGACACATGGACACAACTTTAGATGTCAAGCTGAATTTACTAAAAGTGCTTCTAGACAATGTTAGTTCAGCAATTGCGTGGAATAAATTATCAGTGGAAGTAGTAAATTCTTATAGCTTAAATCAGTTTAAAAACCAACTTGACAAACACCTATAAAAGAACTATAAATAAAGCAACTTATATAAATGGCTGTTTCAGTGTGTGTATCACACTAGCTGTATTAATACAGTGATAGCTTTATTGCAAAACAAAATAAAACTTTGGTTTGAAAGTAACTGAAAGATCATTGGTTTTATTTACTTTTTGAAAAAGGTCACCCACCATGACCCTTGATTACATGCTGGGTCTTACATATCATTGATTTTTTTTTCTTCAAAAGTATATCAACCTGGGTCTCAAAAGAGCCAATAATCTTTTCTATTTAAACCTTTTTGAAAAAAAAATATTACTACAAAGCTATAACACGGGACCTTTTCCATTTTTTGTTAAAAATTGTTGTTGTTGTTTTTTTATATGAAATTTAAGCAATTTTCTTATATAAAACCATTGTTATTTCTGAAATTTCTATGAAATTCTGGTTTTTTTTGAGACCTAAATATACTTTTAGAAAAAAAAATTATCACTGACAGGTGGGTCCCAAACTATTTTGAAAATTTGTAAATTTATGCTATATAATAATACAGCATTACTATATCTTAATGTAAAGTAAAAATAATGCCTAATAAAAATTGAATAACAAACTACAACTGAAACTTCATGGCAAACAAACAAAGTTTGAATAACAAATTACAACAGAAATTGAATAAGAGACTGAAATAAAAGTTTTCAAACTTCAACAGAAATTGAATAACAGAAATGAAATAAAAGTTTTCAAAATTTAAACAGAAATTAAATAGCATTCTACAACAAAAATTGAAAAACTTCCAGACCAGAATTTGAAGCTATCAAAAATTCTGTGAAAATGACAGGGCTTATGAACAGATATTTTTTCCCAGTAGGAAATGAAATTTAAATATCACTTAGTAAAATCAGCATTTTATGTTTTTAAATTGATTATCACTTTGATTATGTTATGTTTTACAAGCATTTAACATAAATGTTCATATATCTGAGTTTTAAAGAAAACAAATAAATACACTACTTGAAAAATTGCTTGATTTTTTATTTATTCAGTGTAGTTAAGACGATTTACAAATTATTCAAATTCTTTTATTTGGAATTAGCATGATTTTATCAGCATATTATGTCCAAACAAGAGCTTTAGATGGTATAATTTTTTTTGCTTCAGGTTTTTTAATGTTTAAAGAAACTTTCCTTTTTTTATATATAATTTTCAAAACCTTTTTACTAACCCCTAATAGTGAACCTAAAGAACACCATTTTAGAGTTTTTAGGTCGCTTTCGCTCATTGGCATTAACATGAATTTAGTTGATCTTTTGAAAAAGTGCCTTAACCCACTATAGATCCAAGTTCTAATCAGTCCTGAAGTGAATTAACTATATATAGTTGTCAAAATACAGTACTTCTATCAATTTTCACAAAAAAGACTAGAACTCCGACCAAGAAAGAGCTTATAATTAAGAAAAATTGCCAATAAACGATCAGAACAGATCATATTATTAAACTATGATGTTCATTTCACCTAAACAACATATTTATTTAAAATCTTATTCAAATTGGACAAGCGATTGTGATTTTAAGAAGATTTAAAAAAAAAAAATGAATTTTTGGTCTGGTTTTTTTCATTACAAACATATATGTTTTATAATACCGATAAATTTATCATTTCAATTTTTTTTTTGCCTTTTTATAATTCACAGACCTGATTATTTAACAGGAATATGTCATAGTCAAAAAAATATCATAGAGTACTATCATATTTTAAAATCAACTTAACTACACCGAGTAGTTCAGCTGTCAATTTAACTGCCAACCATTTTATTGAATATTGTTTTTTTTTTGTTTGTTTTTTAGTTATTATTGTTTTGTTCTGCAATATTTTTTTAATTATTATCTCCTCCTTGATCTCCTCCTTTTGTTCTGCAATATTTGTTTTTATCTTCTAGTTCCTCTTCTTCTTTGGTCATTGGTAAATTATGGATGAACTCAATGAATTCAATGTCATCTTCTAGACAATATTATGATCAGCTTATAGAAACAGCGCTTCATGAATTTAGTATGGTGATTTATGTTAGTTTTGATGAACGGAGAAATGAAGAACTCTCTCGTTTAAAGAATTATGAAAATTCATACAGACAAAAAAATTCTATTACAAAAAAAATGTGGGAGTATCAAAAACTTTTTTTGAAGAGTGAGCGAGGAACCTGGAAATCGAGGTATATCTTTAGAAAAAAAATTTTTAATAAAAAATACTTTAAGTATTTAGTTACATATTTTCATTGTCATTTTCGAGGTAGTAACATGATTTGTATCATATTTTACCTTAAATTTATATTTCCATCGTGGTTATGTTACGATTTCTGTTTCACTCTGATTATATATTTTAAAAAGAAAAATTTAATTCTAGTATGAAATTATCGACAATTACAATTACACAAAAAAATGTTCTTTTTGGTATCAATTTAGTGTTCTTAATGTTTTTTCTAATTGTTTCCAATATTTTTAAATTTTTTTATTTCAATTCACCTCCGTTAGGCTGTGAAGGCCACTACAGTTGAGGAGGCTACTTTTAGTTGTGGTTACAACCCTCTTTCAACTCTTTAACTCCAAAACAACAGTTGACGAAAAAGGCCACTGTATGGTACCACCCTCAACAAGCTGGGGGCGGTACTACCAGGAACGTAGTAGGGATCAAACAAGGAACTTCTTGCTTATGAGGCGAGCACTCTACCACTACAACACTACTGGATTTTATGAACTATAATATACTATATATATATATATATATTAATTATATGAATGTAATTGCAATTTTAGTATTTAATTGTAAGAACAAAACTGCAATTTAATATACAATTTACTATAAATGTTTGAGTAAGTACTTGCTTGAATCGCTGTCTTTTTCTCTTATTTTATGCACTAAGATATGTGTACTTTTATGTTGAGATGAACTAGGATATGTGTATTTACCTTCATGTGGAGGAAAAGATTTTTAAGAATAACAAAGATTTAAGTTTTGTTACAAGAAAAAAACCCTAAAAATTAAAATTTCAAATTATCATTTATATTATTACATAAATTATTTACTTAATGTAAATTAATTATATTTATAGTATACACAAATGTAAATACGTCATATTTATAGTATATTTCTAGTAAACACTAAATGTAAATATGTCATATTTATAGTATACACTAAATGTAAATACTTCATGTTTGTAGTATACACTAAATTTAAATACGTCATATTGTTGCATTAAATATACATTAAGTGTAAATACCTCATAATATTGAATCAAAAAAAATGAGTTTATATTTATTAACATCATTAAAAGTGAATTAAAAATTTATAAAAAGTTATGTTTATATAGTTTTAAGGGTTCTTTATTTTATGTTTATTTATATTATACTTTGATTTGATTTTTGCTGGCCCCTTTATACTAATAAAATCTAGGTAGAAGTGGATTTTCTGATGTTCAATCTTTAATGAGTTAAAGTTTGGAATAATATATTAGTTGACATTTTTTAGGTACTTTAACATTTTGATGTTAAAGTATTGATCATTAAATGTTGAAGGCCCTGTCTTCATTGTTTACTTAAATCTCATGATGCAAATGTGGAGCAAGTGGTTAACTATATGAATGTAGAACAAGTTGAATAGCAGATTAAAGAATCAACTATTAAATTTTTTATTTTTTTTTATTGACAATATGTCTTTGCAGGTAGAGGCAAGCATAATTAGAAGTTGTCTATATGATCTTTAGTCTCTGCAAAAGCTTTTTTTATTTCTCTTTCTATTTAGTATAATTTCATAACAGATGTTAGACAAAGTTATTATTTTAAAATGTTTACACTTTTTGTTGGTATTTGGATACAACATTAAATTTTAAAAGTAATGCATAACCAAATTTAATTGACATGCTCAATCTATGTGTATATCAAAATGTGACTCAGTAGTATTAAATTATAAAAATGTAAGTTAGCAAGTTTGCTAACTTAAGCTTTATCTTTTAAGCTGTTTTCTTATCTACTAAACTATTTATCAAGGTTTTTAAAAGGTTAAATTTTATTTCTTGTAATAAAAATATAATAAGTTTGTTAAAAAATAAACACTGTTGTGTTGGAGGAGAGGTAGCTGTCACCCACTTCGCCTTTATTCACTTTGCTACACCCACTTTGCTTTATTGTAAACAAAATTTTGAAAATTTTTTTTTAAGCAATACTGCTGAACGTCATTTCAAGTTGTCAAACACAGAAAATCGTTATCGAATGCGTTTGAAACTCTCTGAAAATCTTCGGTTTAATTCACATCAAGATGCTTCAATAAAAAGAGATTTGATAGGGATTCCAGATATGTTAAAAGCGTTACCAGTTAATGTTCCATTGGCTCTTAATCCTGAAGATGATGATGTTGAAGATACTGTTGAATCTTCCGTTTCCCAAGAAGATATGTCAAGGTAAACAATAGTTACTTTAGTTTTATAATATATCTAATTTTAAAGTGATTATTTGTTTTCTCATTATTTTTTTAAGTAACCTTCATATGCTTGGAGCAGACACCGGTGCTACTATTTATGCTTCCAACTGCCATCTCATAACTTTGATGGATATTGTACAAGGTCATATTGAATTAACTCCAACTCATCTTTGCTTCATTGATGACCAGTGCAGTGCAGTAGAATTAATATATGACTTCAAATTTGCCCTTGAAGAATTATGTGAAGTTTATAGTAGAAGATACAATTTGCGTAAAACAGCTCTGGAATTTTTTTTGTTAGATCGATCAAGTTTTTTAGTGAACTTTTCTACTATCATAGTGAGTGTTTTATCATAAATAGGAAAGATTTTAGATTGATGATTTCATTTATATATATATATATATATATATATATATATATATATATATATATATATATATATATATATATATATATATATATATATATATATATATATATATATATATATATATATATATATATATATATATATATATAATTTTTTTTTTTTTTTTTCTTAAAGGAAAAAGATTCTTTTTATAAAAAGTTGATTGCTACTCGACCTGTCAATCTTTATTATAGTGGAATACAAAATCCATCACAACTTTTAAGAGTAAGTTGTTTGCAATTTCTGCATTTAAATTTTAAAGCATACATCAAATGTAATTTTTTTCTCTTGGTGTTTGCAGGATTTAGTTTAAATTTTAAAGCATACATTAAATGTAATTTTTTTTTCTGTAAACTGCAGCTGTTTTTCAAATTCGCCTTGAGTTTAAAAAATTCAAATTTGATTTTTTTACAAAATAAGATAGTTTAGATGCCTACAAACCTTTTTGAATAAATAATTTCAAAGAATTATGAAAAAAAATTTTAAAAAATTATTAGTTTAAAAAGAGTTTCTCCTAATATATTTTTTTTAATTGCGTTTTTCTCAAAATATGTAATAAGCATCTTAAGGCGTTTTGAAAAATGGCTGCAGTAAAGTGTTTGCAAGTTTTAGTTTAAATTTTAAAGCATACATTAAATTTAATTTTTTTCTGTAGTGTTTGCAAGTTGATATTATATTTGTATAAAAGTACCTAATATTTGAACTAGTAGATCATTCCATATAGTTGCAGTCGTAATATTTCTACTGCAATAAGTGAAAATATAAGCAAGGAACACAAAACTTTTTTTTTTTTGGTAATGTGTACCTTTGGTCATGTACTATCTAGAAAATTTATATGCTATATTTACATCGCTATGTCCAAGTCAGTCGCAGTAGTGACAGCCACAAAAAATGAAATGGAACTTGTTTAAGTTATTTTGTTTTTTGTAGAAATATTTCAGCAAATTGAAAATATAATTTTATTATTATTTTTTAGAGCATATTAGTAATTATAGTTATTATCAGGGTTGGCAAAAACCCAACCCAACTGGGTTTTTGGGTGGGTTATTGGGTTTTTTAGTTTTTACTTAAGTTGCATACAAATCTTTAGTAATAAAGTTTTTTTAAATGTTTGTTAAATTTATAGTAATTTAAAAGCTATTTTTTTATTTTTTATATTTTCTTATACAAAAGCTTAATTTATAATCAGATTGCATTTTTTTCTAATATAAATTTATTGTTTAACTGAGTTATCTTTTTAGTCAAATTTAAAATAGAATTAAATTATACGTCTTTCTTTGACATTAACATATCAAAGTATCAATTAGAGGGAAGACATTAGGCTAGTGGGTAGAATGAAGTGACCAAATTAAGTGACCAACCAAGTAGATTAATATGTAGTCATTGCAAAGAGATTAAAAATAATTAAAAATAATTAAAAAAGTATGAGAGTTAAGATCCATTTTGATAAATTCAGAAGTAAGAAAAAAGGAAACGCTAAGAATTCCGCAGAATCATTTAGCGATACATCAATTTTAGAGTCTATTTTAGATGTAGTTACCATCTACATCTGCAGCATCGAACATGTCAGAAGATAATGATCAAGATTACTTTAGCTTTATTAGTAAATCTTTGTCAATTGTTCATTTAACTGCAATGACGATGCAACGGCAAACATCCGTTTCTAAATTTGTTACTTCAACAACAAGTAATCAGAAAAATGAACTGAATTTGCAGGTTAAAAGGTTTCTTTTTTCAACAAATATACCATTCAGCATAGTAGAAAAACTTGACTTGACTACCTATAGAATAGAAAACAAATATCTTCAGAACTCTTAGTAAAGTTAAACGAAGAAATAATCTTGATGATGATTGTGCTGTTATCCATATTCAAGATGATTGGGGTACATTTAGTAATGATTTTATAATTGCTCATAGTATTCAAGACGATACAAAGATGATATTTTACAGAGGTTTAAGAAAACAATTGTTCTATATCATTTTCTGGCCAATTTAACAGATCTAAAACGTAAAGGTAACTATAAAATTGTAAAAAAAACTTGTATCTGATCAAATTAAAATAAGTACTGATAAAAAATTTTCTATTTATCTAGAAAGAACCTTGGATAGAAGTCAAGAAGAAGAAGAAAAAGAAGCTGAGGACTTGCTGAAGAATGAAAGAACCTTGGATAGAAGTCAAGAAGAAGAAGAAGCTGAGGAATGGTTAAATGAAGCCTGATTTAGGAATCAAGATATTTAGGAAATTTAGGAATCTTTTAGGAAGAGGAAAAGCAAAAATGCTTGTACAAATTTACATACATTAGGGTCAAGATGAACAATTGCTAATGATTAAGTTGTTAGATAACTTTGTTTTAAAACTTTAAGTTTGAATATTTCTACTCCAAATAAAATAAAATCTCATTTATGATTCACTAAACTTCTTGTTTTTATAACAATTTTTGAGCAGCATTAAATATTGACTGTGAATAGAAATTAATTTATGAATAAAAATATTATAATTACAAAAGCCCATTAAGTTGGGTTACCAAAGACTAAAAACCCATTAAGTTGGGTTTTTAGTGGGTTTTTGCTCTTGGGTTTTTTGGTGGGTTTTTGGGTGCCAACCATGGTTATTATATTGATAATATATATATTATAATTATTTTTTATTTTTTGTTCATGTTTTACATAAAAAGGTTGCTAGCAAAAAGTTATGGTTGTGACATCACAAGTGATGTGACATCACAGTTGTGACAAAGTATTGTACTATCAGATAACATTACATTTTAGTTATTTTCAACATATATTTTAACAATGCCAAAGTTTTTAAAAATATAAACACTTTACACAAAGTTTTTAATTATCCTTTTTAAAAAAAAATACATTACAAGTTTTTAATAAAAATTAGTAACAAATCACTTTATTAAATTGCAATATTAAAGAAATTTTTAAATAACCTTAGCAGGTCAGCTAAGGTTATTTAAAAGTGTCTTTGATATTGTAATTTAATAAAGCGATTTTTTGATTGAGAAGAGGGACCATTACACCAAAATGTTACTTTGTGTATGTTTGAATTGGTTGTGTTTGCCTTTATGGAGTGAATTATAGATTTTGCTTTATATTTATCTTTAAATCCTTTTTTTTTCCATTTCTAATTTTTTCTATAGATTGAGTCTGTTAAACAATCAAACAACAAAATTAAATTGCCTTTAAAAATAAATTACAAATAATAACAAAGGTATAATTTAACTGTTTAAGAAAAGTTAAAAAAAAGTTTTTTCAAGGAAATTATTGATGCATGTTTTGTTGTGATCATTTTTATCTGTTAAATATGGAACCATATTTTTTAAATCTTTAACATAAATTGCAACAGTGAAGATTATTATTTGAAATAAGCACTTTGAAGTTGTTTTTGATGAATACACATAGTTTTGGCTAAAATCACAGTATATTATTAGTTCACCATCCATAATATTATCTTTTTTGTTATAATAAACAGGCGCTTGATGACTTTTAATTGAATGGTAAGTCTGAAGTTGAGGTATCATTTTCAAAAACTCTGCATATGTTGCGTACAAAGATTGTTTTATCAATACCTGCTGTAGATGATTTGTAACCTTGCCTTTGTACCAATTTGTTATTGAGTTTTATGCATTCTTTGTTTAGCTCATCTGATGTTGGTAGCATTCGGTTAATAGGACAGAAACTACATAAGAGTAAAAGGCAGTTTGGAGTGAGAGAGCTGCAAAAAACTCATTCGTTTAACATGTTTTTATTATAAAACTCAAAATTAAGTTTTGAGGATAAAGCATTGCATATATTAATAAAGTTTTCATGAATTAGATAATGGCAGTTGGCATGACAAAAGCAGGTTTCAATACTCACAGATTCTCTGTGATCATCCAGCTCAAATATGTGAATATTTGAGCTGGATGAAGTGAGCAAAACTTAGAAAAATTTATTTTGCTAAATTTTTCTGCATACAGGACATAACATTGCCCTAATTTTTTTAAGTAACAAGTAACATTTTTATAACATAAAAATGTTACTTGTTACTTAAAAAAATTAGGTCCCTCTTCTTTTTATAACATAAAAATGTCACTTGTTACTTAAAAACGATGCTTTTTTTTTCTTTGGCATTTGTTAATTAAAAAGGATGCGTTTTTTTTCTTTGGCATTTGTTAATTAAAAAGGATGCGTTTTTTTTCTTTGGCTTGTAAAAAGATCTTCATTTTTATTGCTTTTTATTTTTTTATTTGCTGTTTTAAAGCAAATTATTTCATTTTAATAATTTGTTTTTCCTGTTGACGTTAGTAAAGTTAATTAAATAGGATTTACAGCAGGAGCTTCTGATGAATTTAAATGATAGACTTCTTCCATTTGACTAGAATAAGAACAAGGAATATTTTTGAAGATCTCTGTGTTTATGCTTTCATTATTTAGCCAGCTCCTTTTTTTTCAATTCTTTTTCTGGCATTAATTGTTGGTAATGAATATTTGTTCTTTTTTTGTTTTTTTAATTTATTTTTTTCCTATAATCTTTAAAAACTTGTGTGATTTGTGATATTTATATGCTCCCTGTATTATTATTTAGAATATGTCAAAGAAATTATATTTTAAATTAATTCAAAACTATTACCATTGACCTTTAAGTACACAGTTTTATCAATTATTTAAATTACTCTTTATAACACATGTTTTAGTCAAAGTTTTGTCGAATTAAATCTGCTTTGTTAATGCATTTAAACAACAAAACAATACATTGCAGTCATGACAAAAAAAGCCATTCTACTTTTTTCAAGACAAGGATTTTATTAAAAAAAATTGGCGTAAATATTCATTTCAACTAATTTTCTTTTGTTAAATGTAAAATTTAAAAGAATAAAATTTAGGTTGTGCACAAAAACTACATTTGTTATAATCGTCACGACCATGATAGTGAAAAACGTCTTTTTTATTTTTAAAATTTTATTTAATCATTGATGTTAAATCTGAGAATTAAATAAACACAACTTCAGGCTTTGGCATGAAGCGGAAGCGATTGCTCTCGTCATGTGAAACATGCTCATTAATGGAATATTTATAAATTGTGGGCGCAATAAAAAATGCTAATTTAGTTACGAGAGTAAAAAATCACACTTGTCCTAAAAATTTGGGAGGGAGAAAACTAATAATGGTTTATTTGATTTTATATTAAATTTTTTTTATATAAAATTTTTTTTATAGATTCGCTAATTGTTAAAAACAAAATAATCTCTATTTACATATCTTTAATTGCATTTTTTCAATTGAGGTAAAATGTTAAAGTGATACTTCAATTAAAAAACTCATTTTTTCATGTTAACTTACGTCATTCTGTTGAAATTAGAGCGCAAATTTCTTCGAACAATGAACGGTGATTTGTGAATGAGACTTATTAATATAAAACATTTACAGCAAACATTTAATAAAATGAAATAAAGTTTTATTTATCTGATAATATTAATACGCTAATTTAATATTATTAGTCGAATTACATCATTTTCTAGGCTTTTCTATTTTAAAGTAGTTTCTAGGCTTTTCTATATGCGTTTTTTTTTTTTTTAATTTTATTTACTAACAACACGTATTACGGGTTGCTTACTGCTAGTTTATATAAGTTTATTAATAATATTAAATTGTGTAATAAAAACAAATTCATTATGAGAAATGTTGTTAATTTAATTTTGTAAAAGCATTTGCTAATGATTTTGATATATGATATATATTACGTTAAATGGAATTGTATTCAATTTAACGTAATAGCAAGGTAGAAAAAATTAAACCCAAAAATACTAAAACTTTTAATTGTTCTTTGAGGTAATAGCCTAATGTTGATAGAAAAGAATTTTAACAAAACTTATAGAATTTTATATTATTATTTAAACAAAATGTTTTTAGCCAAACGTTAACTAAATTTAAAAAGCTTTTGTTATTAAAATTGTAACTTATATTATTTATAACTTAATTAAAATTATAAATTTATTTGAGAAAAAGAAAAGTTTTAGTTTGTGAAAACGTTTGCTAAAAAAATTATAAAAGTTCTATTAGCGTTAGCAACGAAAAAACATTAATTTGTTTTTTCATTATTTCATTATTTTAATTTTACATTTATTTCATTATTTTAATGTTTTAACGATGTGAAAACATTATCATTTATATTTTAATTAAACCAATAAAACAATGAAAAAAATGAAAGCTTATGAACTTCTTTCAAATAAATTTAATGTAATAATTAAAAAAATTGACTGTAGTATCAAGTTAAAGATGAAGACAATAACAAAGAAAATAAATAAATAGAAAAAATAAACATATAACTTTTCATATATTAATATATTTTTAACTAATACACTTAAAATTAATTTAATATTATAATATTTCTTTAAAAACTCTTAATAACAACTATCTAAATACTTTTAAATGTTGTTTTGATCAAATATAGATACTTTTCATTAATGTACGAACAATTATTTTGCCCACTGTATATATATATATATATATATATATATATATATATATATATATATATATATATATATATATATATATATATATATATATATATATATATATATATATATATATATATATATATATATATATATATATATATATATATATATATATATATATATATATATATATATATATATATAAAGAAAATAAAATAATTTGTTTAAAACAAGATCATTAAGAGCTAGGTGGGAAAAAAAGCACAATCAGATGCGATCAAATAATAAATAAGTGTTTAGGAAGTCGAAAGAATTTTAAACTTTTTGTCAGGCAGTGCGCTGCTAAATAATAATTTTAAAATAATTATTGTCTAAAGAACGCTGTATAACAAATTAAAATTTAATAAAATTGTGTGGAACACCCATATCCAAAAATAAAAGATCGCTCACGATAACTTAATGATGAGCGCGCATAATCGCGCTTGCTAAAAAAATATTTGAGTTTTACAGGTGCGAAACATCGCAATGGAAAATTTTCTTCATGCCAAGGCCTGCAACTATCATAAAATATGAAAAATGGCTACCAAACTTTAAATATCTTCTACTCTGTATGTTAAGGTGATTTATAAATTATTCAATCTCTTTTATTTATAATTTGAATGATTTTGTCAACGTATTATGTCCAAACAAGAGCTTAAGATGCTATAATTTTTTTTGCTTTAAGTTATTATCTTTAAAGAAACTTTTTTCTTTTTTATATCATTTTCAAAACTTATCTATTACCCCTAATTGTGAATCTAAAGAACACTATTTTTGAGTCTTTAGATCAATTTTCTTGAACAGCATTAACTTAATTTTTATCTTTTTACCTTAATCTACTATAATTTTTAATTTTTACCTTAATCTACTATAATTTTTAATTTTTACCTTAATCTACTATAGATTCTTGCTCTAATCTGTTCTAGTACATATTAATTGAATATAATTGTTAAAACACAACATTACCATCAATTTTTACTTAAGCAACCTATTTATTTAAAATCTTATTCAAATTTAAACATGCAATTGTGATTTTAAGAAGATATTTTTAAATAAAAAGAATATTCGGTCTGGGTTTTTTGGTACTAACATAAAAATAATTTTTTTGACTTTTTATAATTCACAGACTTGATCATTTAATAGAAATATGTTGTAGTCAGTGTAGTCAAATATAATTAACATAGTGGAGATTTTTTTTGTTTTTAGATGTGCTAATGTGTTTGGTAAATTAATTTTTAAAAATCCACTTCTAATATTCAGTTTAAATTTTTTAATAAATTCAAAAAATGACACTTATATGGAATGACCCAAGAGTATATAGTGTTTGTATATGTTCATATGTTTATTCAAATGTGCATAGTATTTGTACAGAAAAGCATATTGTTTGTGTAGAGACAAACGAAATTGTATTTAATAAATTTGAAAGAAAAGTAAATTTTTTACAAAGCCAAACAACTGCCTCATTAAACATAGGTTTGATAAACTTTTGATAGTGAGGCAGTTATTTGATAAACCTTTGAAGCACTGTTTTTTAATTGTGAACTCTGTTTTAAGGGTGAGACAAGAATATTTTATTTGATTTGTTTTACATGATTTTATGTTATTATTTTCAGGCATCTAAATTAACCAACAAGTGGGTTGAGCGTGAAATATCTAACTTTGAGTACTTGATGCATTTAAACACTATATCTGGACGGACATATAATGACTTATCTCAGTATCCAGTATTTCCTTGGATTTTAAGTGACTATGTTTCAGAAAAAATTGATTTAAATGATGAATCTATATATAGAGACTTGTCAAAGCCTGTTGGTGCCCTAAACGAAGAAAGAGCTAAAGAAATTAATGAAAGGTTAAAAAAAAACTCCTTTTTATACTTATCTAAAAAGTCTTATTTGTAAGTATATATTAAAAAACAAAAGTAAATATAAAAACACATATACATACACACACACTCATATTATATAGTCAGAGAAATAAGTATCCGAACAAAACATTTTATTGTGAAAAATAAACTTTGTCAGGTTATTTCAGAAAAACATACGTTTTTGATAAATTCTTTTATAATTATTCTAGAAGCAAATTTAATCAGGATTTTTTATAGCAAAAAATTAATCAACGGTGAATAACTTGCGTTTCTAAAATTTAATGATTCTCGAAGGAGTGTTAAAACTTCAACGAAAAATAATTAACCGAACTTGTTGTTTTATAAACAAAGTTTTGAAATTGATTATTAAAAAATTTTTTTAAATCAATAGTTTTAGAAATATTGTTGTTTTACAACGAGTATTTTTTAATAATTGACTGATATTTTTTTAAATTCATTTGATTTGCCATTGATATCATTAAGTATGGGAGTTAAAATCAATGAATGGTTCCAGGCTCAGCGCAATTTGGTTATTGACTTGTTCAAGCAAGGTAAAAATTTAGGTCGATAAATAAAGCAACTGGAATGGCATAGTTCTAAAATGTTAGAACTATGTTTACTGTAAAATAAAATTGCACTTTCAAAACAAAATTTTAAATCAAGAAAGTGCCGACCTAAAAGTGTTTGAGGTCGGTAAAATATTGTCAACCTTGTTTTTATATCTTATGGTAACCCCTTTGTGTCAATTTTTTTTTTTGCTAACCTGATGCCAACATCTATCAGTTTGAAGTTGGCATATTATTACCGACCTCATTTTCCATAACACTGAGGGTTATATATATATATATATATATATATATATATATATATATATATATATATA